ANNACTACGGGCATCGAGTCCTCCGCGTAGAGCAGCGCGTGCCTGGGGTTCAAGATGCGGTCGGGGTGGACTAGATACCCAGCCCGCTCCGAACAGAGCGGCGTCCCTCTCAGCGCCACCGACATGTCCAGGTCCTTGAGCCAGCTGTCGTCGTTGTCGAAGCGGCCAGGGTGGGCCTTCTTCACCTTGTCGATCCAGGTGTCGAGCGTGCTCGACCTTGACATCCTGACCGCATGCGCAAACTCGGCCGTCAGGTAGAGGAAGAGCTTCTGGGCGAACATGACCGAGTCCAGGGCGCGTTTTTGGGTGGACTTGGGTTCGTAAAACTTGGTGTCCGAGGGTCGAGGGGGGCGACGTGCATCGAGGGGGACAAGGCCAAGAGGGTGCTGACGATGGCCGAGACGGCCCCCTCCACCCGCAACCAACGCACAGCGAGCCGGGTATCGAAAATGTACCGTCCGTCCGTCGTTTGAGAGATGCTTTCCGATAGCGTAGAGCGAGAGCCACCGAACCTGCCCCATATTGGCCCCACAAACGGGTCGAACTTGGGCACGTACCCAAGCCACGGCTGGAAGAGATAACTCCACTGCGCTCGACGTGATTCCGCGACCGTAAAGTGACCCGCGAGGCCCGGGTGCTCCGGGTGGTCGTTTACCAGCGGCAGCCGTTTGGGCGGAGGGATGCTCGAACGGCCTAGGGCCCAAAAGACAACGGACTTGGAGTCGTCGGCCTTTCCGATCCAGATATTGACGTCCTGTGCCAACGTCAGCGCAATAACTCGATCGGAGGGCGAAGTAGCGGACCTCGGCGTCGCTCATGGCAAGGAGTGCTCTGGTCGGTGGGTGTCAACCAGGTCGTGGTTTGGGAAAAAATGCGGTATTGATGCTATTTAATTATTAGCTAACCCTTTATGTAATCCTCCTATTTCTTGTGTTTCTTTACCAACTTCAACGCGACCCCCTTCTTCCCTTGAACGTGGGCGTTGTTCTTTTGATACTCGGCCAAGAGCTCGCATAACCCTTCAACCACCGGCCCCGATTCGTACCAGCTGCCTCTAGTAAACAGATACTCGGACGCGGTCCGCTTAAAGACGAAACCGCCCTCCTGGCGCGTGTGTGAAAGCGTGCGCGTGTCGTAACGCAGGGACTTTTGAACGAGCCACGCAAACTCGACAGCCCACTGCTCATCCGTTAGCAGCACGTGCGCCTTGGTGGGCTCATACGTAGAGGCAATCTTGGCTGGGATACTGCCGCCTTGCGAAAAGACTCAGACACATTCATTCATAAGAGAGGTAAATGGGACGGACGGCGCTTGTAGGTGTCGAGGGCGGCTTCGACCTTGGGGCAATTGATGTCAGCACCTCGCCTTCCGATGTAGGCCTCAATGGCGCATTCGGCGCTTCTAGGGACAAAGTGGGCATCGGAGTAGTTCGGATGGGCGTACATCCACGGAGAGATGATCATGCTGCTGAGCGACGTGAGGCTTTTGATGCCAATGGCTGCAAGGCGTTCGAATGAGTCGTCTCTGTGTAAGACAACGAGCAGCGCTTACGGCGTGGTTGCGTAGCGGGCAGATGGGCCATGATGCGGACTAGGGTGTAGTACGCAAGGGCGTTGGGGCTCTTGGGTAGCGTGCAGTATGTTGCGTTGTAAAGCCGGGCAACGTCGGTCAAATGAAGGCAGTCGAGGTTATAGAAAAAGCTCCCGACAGCAACGGTCGCGACAGGTGCAAAACACTCGTAAAAAACGGTGGGTGGAAGCAGGCTGTCGGATTGATTCAGAAAACCGGAGCGGGTGACGGAGAAAACGCCCACATGGTGCATCCTGGACGGACGAGGACAAAGGAGAGGCCCTCTTGCCTCGAGTACGCCTCGTATCGCGACTCCCATTTTTCTCGCAACCCAGGGTCCTGCCCCTCCATTGCCCTGAGCACGTCCTCCCGGGTCGTCGCCCCCATAGCCCCCTCGCCGCTGTTGATGATAAAGACGAGAGCGCCGGACAGGACCTTGAAGCAGGCCACCTGTCCCTCTGGCGAACGGGCGCCGTACTGATGGTACAGAGGATGGAAGAGCTGCACCCAGGCGCGGTGTTCGTCGACTAGAAAGGGCCGCTCCTTTCTGTCGCTGTACGGAGATAGCGAACCCCACCCAACAGCGTAGCCGTCGTCGAGAAACCTTTTGAGGAGGACGTCAGCGTCAAAAGCAAGGGTAAATTAGAGTTGCTCGCCGTAGGTAGCCGTCGAGGAGATTCGCGTACGGCGTCTGGTGGCTCAGCACAGCCTGTATCTTGGCGGGATCGTCGAGGTTCTTGATGAACCGCCGCAGCGGCATCGGATTGGGGTACCCTACCTCGAGATCTGGCGGGACAAGTTCAATTCGCGTCCAGGCTACGAGCACGGACACGAACCATAGGCGACGACTTCGGCGTTTTCGGAGACATGGAGCTCCGTGAACAGGCCCTCGCACGACATGGGGACCTCCTTGTACGGCTCACCGCAGACAAGGACGACGACGCACTCGGCCAGCTTGGGCCTGATTTTCTCGGCCATCCAGCCATCGCTATAGTCGTGGTCAACCAGCGCTAGACCGCAGAGCTTCTTGTGGAGGTTACTTGCGGCATCGGCGATCCTCTTCGCATGCTACAAGAAATCAGTCGAATATATGCGCATGAGAGGAAGCACAAACGAATTCTACGGCGTTGCCGCCGTTGGAGCCCGCGATGTACGGCACCGAGGTCCGTATCCTGTCGCTCCAGATGACCATGGGAGCTCTTTGATCATACATGGCCCCGCGCCCTTCCCACGCAAAGTCGTCGTCGATGCCTTCGGCGGCAAGCAGCTCCCTTGAGTCCATCGGACATTCATAGTAGGCATCTGCGTAAGAATCTTGGAGCTCTTCGTCTACAGGCATGGGCCCTTCTTCAGCCGTCTGCGTTGGCGCCGTCTCAGGTTCCGTCGGCCGACCCGCAAAGAAGGCCCATAGGGGGTTCATGAGAGCGTGAGGATGCGTATGGTGGTGGTGGTAGATGGAAAAGAAAAGAGGTTGGCGCGCAGACTGCCTTTTCGGGAAGCGCATATATTTGAACGGCCAACAACATATATTACAACCAAAGGCGACGAAATGAAAGCACAGCAAAACGGCAACCACAAACCGCGCAACGAAATGAAAGTACAACCCCGCGAGCTACGGCCGAAGGATGGGTCCGAGGTCGACGACGTCACCAGGGTCGCTCCACCGCCCATCGTCAAACAAATAGTCCCCCTCGTCCTGCGCCTTTGCCTTTTTCCCTCGCCTCGCGTGCTGGGGCAGGCCCAGCCCTTGGACAATATTGTTGGCCAGCGATTTCGCGCGTGCGGTAGTCACCGAGTACTCTTTGCCCGATTTTCGTTTGGCAGCCGCATCTTCGATAGCCATCAGCACATCCGGATCCAACGCAGGAGCGGCAGTGTACTGCCTGGGTCGCAAGATCATGCGGCATAGCGCCGCAATAGACTTGCTGTAAAAGTCTGTAATCCATCAGCAACTCGCAAAGCCTATAGAATACATGCACCTGCCTCGGCCTTCAATCTTGGGCAGCGCGAGAACCATCATCTCGAGGGTGAATAACGCACTGTCGTGCGACTGGTTCGTCAACGAGCCATTCGTTTGGAACCCGAACGAACGGGTGAGTTCCGTCAGATGGGCGGCGTCGTAACTGTAGAAATGGCCGCCGAGGGTGACAGAGGGAACGGGGGTGTATACCTCATGGAAGATCCCAGGAGGTTGGATGCTAGAGAGACGATGAGCAAAAAGGGGCACAATCCAAACCCAAAGACTCACATGAGGTCGCCCGGCCCTGCAGTGACGACGAAACGGTCGGACTCCGAGCCATAGTACCCATGGGGCCCGCGTGTCTGGTTGGAATAGTCGACGACGGCGTCCCTGTACTCTTGAAACGTCCTGCACCCGTCCAGGTTGCGATGCTTGACGAACGCCCATAGCTTGTACCCCGACAGCACCTGCGTCCACGTTCCAAAGCCATCTGCGTCGTGATGCGAGAATGTGTGGAAAAGCGCTTGGTGCATTATGAGCCAGGAGGTGGACTTTTGGACGTCTATGGGAATGAGACGACGATCATGGGCCTCCCAATGCAGCCTCATCCAGGCAGCGCTGCCGTCGTCAATGTATCTAAATCCGATTCAGAAAACGCAGCCAAACCGCAAGAATAACGCCCACTTTATGAGGTTGGGCTTGCTCCCGTCCATTGTGGGGCAGTCTAAGATGCACTGGATGCGGCCGTTATCCTCGACCCCCGAGATAAAATCCTCTAGAGTCATCTCGACGTGTGGGTAGGTAAAGTCTATCATGCGCTCGGCACTATCTGGATCTAAATGAGACGAGGGTCGAGCGGAGGAGAGCAAAAACCGACCGTGGACGCATTGCACCTGGTTAACAGCCAGGTTTAACTTCTCCTCAAGGTCCTTAGCGGTGAGGTCGACGTGGTCGTAGGGGTAGCCTTTCAGAATGACGGGAAAACCGCGTGCTAGCTCAGAACGGATGCGTCGGCCCAGCTCAAAGTCAGAGGCAAAGTCGGACCGCTTGAGGTGGACGATCCAGGGGGCGTCGGTCGACGGCTTGGCCATTTCTGCGAGCTTCTTGACGTGGAAGGCGAGCTGTGATACGCGTTAGGGCCGAACCAGCGGAACACGCAAGGACGTACATCTGCGAGCAAGTTCTGCTTCGCGTTGTCGGGCTTGGGCAGCCAGGGAAGCTTAGTGGCAGTGCCGTCTTGCCACACGACGGCTTTCGCCTCTCCGGGCAACAAAAACTTGGGCGAACCAGCAGGGGGGCAGAAGGACGTGAGGTCGAGCACGACGTCAGGACGGTCTTTCGAGGGACGGATTGCGACGGCGACGGGCTGACGTGCATCATCCGCGGGGGGAGGTTCAGGCGTCCACTCGGCCTGCGATGGCGGACCGATTTCGGGGACAGGCGCTGAGGGTGGTTCCAGAGAGTCGGGCAACGGATAGCGTTCGACGAAGGCTCGCCATGGGGAGCAGAGGACCAGCCGCTTGCCATATCGCGGGGCATGCGCTGTTGCTTGATGCTCTTCGTTGCCTGACGGGTGCGTCTTGCGCTTCTTATTCGGCGGACTGGCCATGGGAATGCACTCGTCGGTGGGTGTCAACGAGGTTGTGGGGAGAGCACCCTGTTCCAGCTCGGGGCGGACAAAAATACGATTATCTAATACAATTCGCACGCCGTCGGGCCGATATCCACGCTTTAAGCTCTGCAGCACCTACACGGCGAGGCGCAAGGGAGGACGACGGGGCATCCACGATGCCCTACGATCCACTCAACTACCACCATGAGCCCACCCAACACCAACAGCATCGATTCTACCCATGGCGTCGCGGCAACGCAGAGCGGCCCTGTCATTAGCGTGAATGCTTTGAATCTGTATTACATCGACCCCGAAATTTGTATGGACGCAACGGTCGAGGTGTACCAAAAATCAACGTTGGACGACATCCGCACGCAGGCCCACCAGAAGATACAGGAACACCTCGCCGACGTGTGCGAAAAAGCCCAACTCGATGCGGAGCGCCACATGCTCTTGGGACCGGAATCTATTGTTTTATTCTCAAGTAGGTGAATTTTTCATAACTTCCTTCTCTTTACATCATCGCCCTCTTCAGACCGGCTAGGATATAGAAGTTTTGAGCGTCAGGACCCCAAGGCCCCTGTGATGGCTGCCACTCTGGTGGCCGAAGGGGACCACGTGTGCGCCATCGTGCCTCCGTGGGGCAAACTGGGCAAAACGCCGCCGTCGGATGCCGCCTTTGTTCCCGACGACCTCGAGAGCCATTTCCTCCTACCTCTAATCGACAGACAGTACACCCTCAAGGACGACATAGAGAAGGGCGAGACTGAAATTCACAAACGTTCCGAGATCATAAAGAAAGAGCGAGAAAAAAACAGGGAGCTTAGGACCGCCCTAGAGGCGGAGCAGAAGGCGACAGAGATGAAGGTGAAAGAGGCCGTGTGCGCAATGGAAAAGGGCATGAGAAAAATGGAGGATATGGCGGACGAGTTGAGACAGGCCTTGAAGGAGGAGAGGGAGAGGAACAAGAGGGCGCTGGAGGAAGAGCGGAGCGAGAGGGAGAGGGCCTTGAGGGAGGAGCGGAGCGAGAGGGAGAGGGCGCTGGAGGAAGAGCGGGAGAGGAACAAGAGGGCGCTGGAGGAAGAGCGGGAGAGGACGTCGAATGAGCTCGACCAGCTGAAGCAGGTGAGTCAACCGCCAATCCCGTCGCAACCAGCTGACGTCTAGGCACAGGCTTCATTCCAGCTTCAAATGCGCACGATTCTCGACGACATCCAGGGCGCCCTTGCGAAGCAGGCCAACTTATCTATAGACGACACGCCTTCAAGGGCCTGGAGGAGGTATTTAGACGAGAAAAGCAGCTGGACGATCGACGACCGGATCAAATACACGCGCGGGCTGATCAAGAACAAACCAACGTTCGCGAACATCGCCGCCTCCAACCACGCACTCAAGATCATTTGCGAAAGCGCCTCCGCTATACGCAAGGCTGGAAACACGGCCGCCCATCCCTCGTTCGATAGCGCGGTGAAATATGACGCGCTCAAGGCAGAAGTGGAAACGAGCTTGATACGTGACACCGAGAAGGAGGCGATACACGCCATCATAGAGTCGCTCGCGAAGATGTACCTGTAGTTTCACTTTCAAATCATATACACCGATCGATATAGTCTCGCGCTAGCCTGCAGCTACCCTCAAGCACATGTTTGGTTGGCCCGCTGTACGGGCTGAGGGCCTCCTGCCAATTTTCTTCGGCGTTGGCTCGCCCGCTATCGAGCGCCGCTAACCGCCCCTGGGTCCAATGGTCTGCGTCGAGCGCCTCCCGTCTCCACTCTGGCTGGGTCGGCCACCACGACACCAAGTACTCGTTTCCAACGTCGTAGAGGCCGCACACGGCGTCGAGAGTGGCCTGAGGGACATGGTCACCGCAGTACGTGGTGCCATCGAATCCAACGCCTACCAGGTCGTCACAGACCCTTGGACCTCGGAGCGCGTGGAACTCCGGGACGACGTCCGACGTCATTCTCCCGACGATACCACCCCGTCTGCGCATCTCGGGCCCCAGCTTGGAGCGGAACAGGCTCTTGCGGTGGTCCTTGTAGTCCTCGTAGTCCTCGCGGGTAGGCGGTGACCGGGGCCGTCTCTGCATCAAAAGATCCCTCCGTGGCGGCAGCCACGGGTCTTCATCCGACGCCGGCTCATCGGAAGCCGGCACCAAGGCCTGTGGACAGACGGCGCGGAAAGGGATGCCCAACCTCAACAGGTACTGGGCGATGACGAGCGATTTTGCTTCCAGTTCGTCCAAATCGTGCAAGGCACCGAATCCCATCCGACGGGCTGCTACGACGACATCCTCGGGGGCAAGCGTCTCCTGGTCTTCCTCGTCATGCCAAGCGTCATGCCATGAGCCGACAATACACAGCATGAAACCGTGTCGGTCGCGGAGGTAGTCGATGACAGAGAGATGGGAAAACCCAATCTCACGCTTGATGGCAGCGTCGAGTCTTTCTTCAAAATCCGGGGCGATGGGCGGCGGGCATACAAGGCTGATCTGGTGCCGCGTGGGCAGGTACTCTCTCGCCATTGGGTCTGACGTTGGGCGCCTATTGTACTGCCACCCCCACGCGAGCCATATCAGGACCCCTGTGCTACACAAGCGGGTCAGGAACCTGGCCCAGCGCGTGGTGTAAGGGTCCAGTGCACCGCCTCTGCGTGTTCTCTCGCTAAAGTCGAAAATGATCGACACCGGCAACAAGGAAAACAACTCTTCGTCAAACAGCCGGCCCGTGTCGTGCTCGAGCACCCGCATAGCCAACAAGAGTCGGTCCCTCGTCCCATCCGTCGACCACAGAGCAAGGGCAAAGGAGCAGAGGGCGACGAGGCTTTTGAACGCAGCGCGAGATTTCCGTGGCTTCTTGGAGGGCGACGTCAGCAGTTGGGTGGGTCGACTGATACTGGAATCGGGAAGGACGGGAGGGGTTTGGGATGAGGGGGAATGCGTCGCGGTCGGGATGGTTGGCCATGAGGGCCTCGTATACCGAGAATAAAAACGATTCGAGCCTGACCCATGATGACTGGATGTTGGGTTTGAGTCGATATCCCCATGCGCCCCCTTCGATGGCGTCGGGCCCGGTCATGAGCTTGAGGTCCCTGAATAACGGGCAATCGTCGAGCGATCGCTTGGGGTAGAACGCCATAAACACCCGATCGTCTTGTAGGAAAGCAGGCCATTCGACAACGAGAGGAGCGTCTGACCAAGGAGGAGGTGCTCCGGTCACAGAGGCGACGAGGCCGTCGTTTAGGCGCTGACCATGGCTAGGGGGTTATGCACACGGGCAAAGTGGGCAGATGAAGGAGGCCCCTCATTAAACCCGATCGGGTGTGTATCGTGTAGTTGGTACGCCGATTCCTTCATCTTGAACTGCAGGGGTCGCAGTCACATGGGCCCGGGCACGTCCTTTGTCCTCGGAGTGCGAACAGTGTTATCGGACGGCGTTTGCAGAAGGCGACCCAGTGTCCTAAAAGAGGCCGGCGAACCGCGACCAGACATGACTTCTAAAGGCTAATGGCTGCTTCTTCGCAGATCGTGCAGACCTTTTGAATATAAATGGTCGACTCGGCCCGGCCTCAATAAACGCATGATTATCTTTTTGGACGTGGAATATGATACAGGGATCCGCAAAAAAACCCTCGAGTTCAATATAAGCCATGTCGAACGACTCGCTCACCATCCGTACGCGCTACAATGACGCAGTAAGTCCTCCGCCGTTTCTACCCTCTCCTCGTAGCTGACGTTATCCAGAACCACCAACGCTATTTCTGGCCCATTGCTATCGGCCTCCGGGCGCTTGATATTCCCTTCGCAAGCGCGCATGCTGTACGAGCGGTATGGATTTCAATGTCGCTCGGAGTCCGACGCTCTCCCATCCAGACCCTCTGCTTCTCCCTATGCGACATTGGAGGTCAGGACGGCAGCCCGACGACTTGGCATCAACCAGCCCTTGGAACGCTCGCGCGCTACTGTCATACAGATCCTCGGGTGCTACAACCAACTCATCGACCGCGATCAGGTCCACGCCAGAAACGACGTTTACATCGCCTACGCAGTACAAAACTTCAAGTTCGTAGAGCGCGCCTATGCAGACGGAGGCCGGGCGTTCATCCTTACGGAACACGGCGCTATCAACACGAAAGGCCCCGTCGTCATTGTCTACGACCCTCTCGTCGCCCTCGCATTGTATCGCACGGCTCGCTTGTCCGACGTGCGCGACGTGATGGGCGTCGCAGTGAGGCTGGGCGCCAGGTTCAATCTCGCACGCGCCATCCCAAACAATTCACCCCCGATGACGACTTGCGGAAGAAAACACGTCTGCACGCAAGGTCACAGATACGCCTCCTACGTGCGTTGCCGCGACGCGTTCGTCCGCAGTGAGAGAGGGCACGTCGCTATCAAAGCCGGCGGTCTCATGGCGCGTCTCGCAGTAGGAACGGTCAAGCCCGACGACATCTACAACGGCGCAATTGCAGGGGGCGATCGCAAAATTGCCATGTTTGGCTGGTACGATCTCTACGACGGCTCCTTGAGTCGAAAGGATGTCTCCGTCCTGTGTGGGGTTCACTATACCCGCCCGTGGTCGAGGGAGCTGTCCTCGTGGTGGCCGACGCCCGACGTTTGGGCGGGTTGTAGGTTAGAGCGTGAGTTTTGGACTCCAGAGGCCGAGGATTGGTTCATCGGATGGCGGGATCAGCTCGAACGAAACGCAATTGACCGGGCGCCGACAAAGACAGAGTGGAGGGAGCGCCTGCGCCCCGTTTCGGCCGCCTCTCGCCATCTCATGGACGGGTGCCGCGAGCACGCTTATAGATTCATGACTGAGCGCATGTAGACACCCGATTTGTACATATACAAGGACGCGCTGTTGGTATCCGGAACGACACTGCGGGTTCTCTCCTTGCAGCGATGGATGGGCCACGATGCTGCCCGCAGAGGCCTCATCAAACCCGTTGCGCGCATCGAGATTAGCAGTGCAGTTTTATTTAAATCGCATTCCGCAATCGGAGATCGCCATCAGTATCGCGGGAACTTGGCCGCTATTTAAGGGCTTCGGCTTTCTCTCTCTCTCTCTCTCTCTCTCACCTCGTTGACACCCACCGACGAGCACACTCCTACCCCTCATGGCGTCCGCACGCAACCGCGATGTGATCGAAATGTTTCGCGGCTGGGAGAAAGAGTTCGAAGACGCCGTCGACAATGACGATCGGCTGGTGATTGTGGCCAGGGTGGTCACCCACAAGGTGGTGAGTGCATCCTGCGCCACGTCATTCGCACCCTGCTCAAGACCCGGCTGTAGCGGCCTTTGTTGAAGGAGGCCAAACAAGATACCGCTCTGTACAACGCCATTAGAGAATACGAAGGCTTCATATTGACGCTCACCAAGGCGTGGAACCACAAGACGTCCGTGGCCGGGTTTACCAAGACAGCGGCCGCTGTTATCCGCAGAGAAACACTGCCTCGAGAGTCTCCTTTGGCGGGGCCCGTAGAATCAGACCTCAACCCGCCACCCGCTGCCCCGTTGTCGCCCCGCGCTGAGAGCCCCGCTGCCCCGGAAAAACCCGTCAACCCGCCCCCCGCAGAGAGCATTCGGTCTTCCAGCCCGCCCCAGCCACCAAGACTCGACACCCGCGCTGAGAGCCCCGCTGCCCCGGAAAAACTCGTCAACCCGCCCCCCGCAGAGAGCATTCAGTCTTCCAGCCCGCCCCAGCCACCAAGACTCGACAAGGGCAAGGAAAAGATAAAGCCCCGTCCCACCTTTGGCAAGAGGACGGCCAAGGGTAAGTGCTGCCCTTCACAATTGGTTCGGACACTCACAGCTGCGCTAGGCCTCTCCGAAGGGACTCCTCCGCCGCAAGCTACCCCCCCGGCGGAAGAGCCCAAAGCGAACCCAGTCGACGAGCACGACACCCAGCCACTCGTCGCGCAGGACGACCTACAGTCGACCTTGACCGGCCGGTGCTACGAGCTCTGCTGCAAAAGCTGCCTGAAAAACAAACGTCTTTGCCGAGAGGCCGCTGGCAAAATCGGCTGTTTCTACTGCGTGCGGTCGAAGCACACATGCATCTTTCCTGAGGGGGAACAAAAGTTGATAACCCCCTCCGAACCTCTTGGGCCCCCGGATCCCCAACGCCCTCGAGCGGCGAAAGCTGCCTCTTCAAAGTCTACCAAAAAGACGCAGCCCGCCGTTGGCGACAGCCAATACGACGCCATCGAAATCGACAGCGAGGAAGAGACAGCCAAGGCTCCCACCAAGCGCAGCAATCGAGCTGCGAAGACCAAGGCGAAGAGCAGGATAAAGGCGGAGATCAAGAAGACGGCGCGGAAAGAGAGTGACGGAGACAGAGACAGAGAAGCCGACGAAGATGGGGATAAAGTCGAAGACGCCCCTGGACCCATGCTGCGACGTCGATGGGTGGCCAAGCCCCCGCCCTACATTCCAATTCCCGACGCTGTCCCCGACCCGCCCAGCACTGGCGAGCTCTTGGACGGCCCGACCAACGGCGTCGCGGCGGGTGCAGAAAACGCCCGCCTCGAGCGGCGAGTACGTGTGCTCGAAGACACGATCGTCAACCTCCTGCACGCCTTCGGCATGGAGGAGCCCCTGATCAGCGGGAAAAGGACCGACGCCAACGAGGACGACGAGACGCTTGCAGTCGTTTCCTGGGGGTTGGGACCTCGGGCGAGGGATAGGATGCTTAACAGGTTAGACGAGCTGTATGAAGGTGGGGTGGATTGGGGGCAGCTGTTCAAGACCGGCGAGCCCGCCAAGAAGGCATCCGCTGCAAGTGCGGACGACAGCGATCTCGAGGTCTCGGCCATTCATCCTGCCGGAGCGGCGTCGTCTTCAAAGGCGACCCCAAAGCCCAGTACTGGAAAGGCCGCACCCATCATATCCGTCAATCGCCCAAAGGCCACCAAGCCCAAGGCTGTCGCGCCCCCCGCGTCCTCTTCCACTGCTACCACGGAGGTCGACGGAGCTGCTCCGCGCAAACGACGAAAATCGCCTTTGGCATCGGATGACGCAAAGCGCAGGCGTGTAGTGTAGTATTTTTTTTTTTTGTACAACAATTGCGAACTATAGACGGGCTTTCTGAATCACATGACACGTGTGTTGACTTACCGCATCGCGTCACTCATTTGTTTGTTACAGTCATGACCACCATTGAACAGCCAGACTCGCAAAAGATCAAGGAAGTCCTGGAATACTGCGAGAGCAGATTTCGGACAGCGCTCGCTGCCTTTGAGAAGCACGATCAGCGCCTTCACGCTTGGAGGACGGAGGTTCTGAAGCAAGAACTGGTAGGCTCCGTCCTATTGTGCCTCGCTCCGCTGAACTTTTCTCTTTAGCAAGTCGCTCTCCGATGGATAGGGGTCGCGACGGCAACAGGGTGTCCCGTTACTGTCCCGTCAACCATCCGGTCCCTTGCGAGCAGCCTGTACTTTCAGACCGGCACCCCCGAGTTTGACCCAATATCTGACAGCGACCCTAATCCCGTCGACTCGCACCCTTTCGCCTGGTGGATGGGGAGTGAGCGGCCCGAATCGGGCGCGTTTCTGACAGACATCAACCTGCAGACCTGCCTCAACGCTTGGAACGATACCCACCCCAGGCCATCCGTGGAGGAACCGACCACCCCAATGGACGTCGATTGCCCAAAGTGTCAGTACTACAAGGGGCTGCTTAGAACGGCGGAGATCGGGCAAATCGAGGGCCAGCAGAGGGCGCAAGGGTTAGAGGCGACGTTGGACAAGGATGCGATACGCGCGGAAGTCGGCAGCGACGACGACGAAAGCATGCGGGACGCGACATCGGCAGCGAACGAGCTGCTATACGAGGCCCGCATCGACGCCGACGCCCTCAGCCAACCTCCTCGTCCTCCCATTGCCCCACCCGCGCCAGCACATCGCATGGCTGAAGACGACCCCATCGACACGTCGTCCTCGTACAAAGCTGCGCCGTTCGAGCCAGCACAACAACATGCCCCGCTAAACAGATGGGCCCAACGGGACGAAGAGATCGACGGAACCCTGGACGTGTCGTCCTCGGACGAAGATGTGCCGCTCGAGCCAGCACAACGACATGCCCCGCTAAACAGATGGGCCCAACGGGACGAAGAGATCGACGGAACGTTGGACGTGTCGTCCTCGGACGAAGACGCGCGCCG